TAATACATAAAGTATAAAATTAAATATAATTAAAAAATTTCTCATAAAACTAATTAATTTTTTTATACATAAGACATAAAAATAGAATAAATGAATAATAACAATTGCAATGAAATAGCAATCAAAACATAAAATTGTAGCCCAAAAAATCTAATAAAGTTTTTTTCACTTGATGATAAAAAATCTAAAGATTAACGATTGGGTAATGAAAAGTAAAATAGTGAGAAACTTTTCTAAGACCAATAATCAATTTCTTATTGAGACTAATGTAGATATTGCTCATGCATCGATCCTAATGCTTTAGTACTTCTAGTTTTTAAAATGTTTTTGGCTTAATTAATCTATATTTAGTTCATTTCAATGATTTAAATGATTAATTAAAAAAAGGTTCGCAATCAAATTATTTAATATGACCATCTCAGTGAAAAATCTATGTTTCATCAAATAGAATTTTATTGTGCCAACAGTTCTCAATTTAGTACATATATTAAAAGCCACAATCACATGTTTTTTTCCTAAATTCTCTCATGATATGCTCAAGTGTGCACACTTATAGCTTATTATAATAGCATAACCCTCCTGTAATTAAAAGCTGAGAGAATATTTAGGCTGCTTATCAGGATTAAACAGACCATAATGATTCTCTGTTCCTTGTGGTTGTTTCATGTTCTCATCAAACATGGAAAAGATAAAAGTGTCAATATAGTTCCCTGGTCGTTTGGGTGTTCCCTGCCCCACATGCCTTATTAAATTAGAGACATACGTCTGGGCATTCTCCGTCGTCGCACCCACCCCACCATCCGATGGCCAGCCACTCTCTGACACCACTATGGCGACGTTGTTTCCTCCTACCTTCTCAAGAGCCGCATAGAGGGCATCAACAGTTGCATCAAAAAGATTTTGATACTGCAACTGTCCGTCTGAAACCACCGACCCAGGCGAAGTAAAGAGCGCATAAGCGAGGGAGATTGTATTGAGGTTGCCGATATAAGAAAAGTAAGGGTAAACATTGGCAAGGAGCGGCGCACCAGTACCGGTGAGGAAACCAATAATGGGTTGGAGAGCGGGGAGGGCATCCGATGAGAAGGCACCAGCAGATGGAGGGTAGGAGTTTCCAAGGACTGCAGTGGAAACAGATGTTGAGACTTTGATCTTATCTTGGAGGCCAATTGATTGCAATGCATTTCGCACATTCTGCATTGCAGGGAGAACATTTTGGGCTTGAGGTCCAGGAATAAGCTCATTGCCAACGGATA